TGCCCTAAGCTGTAAGTCCACAGAAGGTGCAAAGCCGTTGACAGGCCTTGAACAGGATCTTTTCTTTTCAGTGTTTCTTCTAGTCTGTTATGAGCAGCAAGGAGAGAGAGTAGGGAGGTAACTTCTGGTACCCCTTAAAAAAAAGAAATGCTAAAACTAGAAAACATAAATTGTTTTATTTGCAGTTGTTTCAGTTCAACTTGCAAATTCAAAGTCTTTCTTTAAATATTCCCATCAGAATATTTCTCACATATCAAAACTGGTTGTTTTTCCAGCAGCAATTCTGGCCACAATCTCTATCTGGAAACTTGGACATCAGAGAAGCCCTCTAACTGGAATATGTTATCTGCCTTTCAAAGACACTTTTTTGTGGGATAATGGCTCTAGCCTCCCATGCCACCTCGACTTTCCTTTTTCAGATTATCCCCTCTCATTTGAAATCGCAAATTTCTTTGGGCAGTAAGCCCAGTCTTTGTATGCATTTCTTTTTGGACCTCTATGCTCACGCGATTCCCAGTCCTGCTCACTACGTTAGGACGGCTGCATAAGACAAGATAATCACAGCATGAATTTTTTTTCATTCCACGACATAAAACACCTGTTTATTACACCTGTCTGTGTTCCCATGAAACATCATCAAAAAAAAAACCCCTCCATCCTTCCTTCAGAGAAACCACCAGTTGGATTTCCTTAGGAGCTAGGGCAGAACTCAAGGAAAGGGCGGTCACTGGCAGCGCAGGAGCACAGCCCTTTCTCCTGGGACTGTACCTGCGTGTGAGTCAGCAGAAACAGCCTTAGCTGCCTCATGAAAGAAGGAACCTGCCAACATGAAAGTGAAAAGTAATTGCTAAGAGAGCTCTTTAAGTACCCCAAGATGTGTAAGACCTATAGATGCCAAACACATCTGAGAGCGAGGTAAGCACTGCAAAGGCCTGCCAGGAAAAGGCAAGGCCGAGCGCTGGCTAGCCGTGCCGCGGCAAGGTGTGAATCCTCCCACCCACCTGCGTGGTCCCAGCCCTGGCACCGAGGGCAAGCCCCCTGCTCTGCCAGCTTTGGGGCCAGTCCGGTGGGAAGCGTGGGGACATCGGCCCCACCAGAAGCTGCGGCTGAGCATCTCGGCCTGCAGCAGCCTCTTTTCCTCCCATTGTCTCCGCTTTTTCTTTCTCCTCACCCTGGGAAGGGAGAACACGTAATAGGGCTCTCCCTTCCCGGGGTGCGGAAAAAGAAAGAGCAGAGTGGAAAGTTTATGCTGCTGCTACCTTCCCATCCAGCTCTCCTGGCTGGGATTCGGGGCAGCGAACAGCACACGGTGAGCTGGGAAGGGCATGGGGCCATGCAGTGTGCGAGAGCTGGGGCTGCCCCGGGGGCAGATGTGCAGCCCCAGGCAGGCTGTGGCTGTGTGCACTATGGGCAGGGCTGGGTTTGCTTCCACCCACTGCTCCCTCCTGTTCTTCAGGCGTGGAGTCAGAAGAAAACCGCAGCCTGCAACAGTGCTATGAAGCCAAGCACGGAATGTGGATAAGGAGGCCCATAGTCTGTAGGCAGTGCAGGAGCTCCCTGTGTGTTTTTCAGAGCCAAAAGAGGCCAACATCTAACGAACACTGTATTCAGCCCAACTTTTTATTCCTTAATATTACAGTATTACATATCTTATGAATGGGAAGTTGAGGCCAAAAGGTAAAAACACTTTGTTGAAAGGCATAATGTATAAGCTATGAATTTAATACAACAAAAAAAACCCCTTCCTGTTCCAACCATAGAGCAAAGTCCTGCACCCCACTGGCAGATCCTTGCATAAGGGTTAAGATGTTTTACAGCGTCTTCAGGATAGAAGTCTTATTACAGGAAACTGCATTGAAGAGACTCAAGAAGCATTTTTCTGTCTAAAACCATCTTTAGCCTCCTATTTCACCATTTTCATCTACCAGAATTAGAAGTTTGAGTTCTACATTTCCATCAGCTGCAGGTTGCTAGTATCACTTTGCACCTTGAGCTACAACAAGCGTTCAGTGAGAAGATTTCAGCTTTTGCAAGTGTTGCCTGGTCTGCGATTTTATCTTTTAGGCTATTGTGTTCAGAGGGGAACACACAGCCAGGCATGGACCATAGGAACAGATGCTTAACAGATACAGGTTTATCTTGTTTTTCTACTTCTTGCCACCCTCCCCCTCAAAATTACTGAGTCTCTCCTGAAATACTGAGGGCAATAGGTGAACAGGAGTCTGTGGGCTCTAAGCTGCTGGGAGCCGATATAAGTGTTATCAGGTGCTTACCAGACTCAGCATTATGTCCTGCCTTCAGCTCCGTCAGGGAACCCCACCTCCCTCTCCTTGGGCTAGTTTTGGCATCAGTCACCAGTCAGGCACCTCTTCCTCCTTCTCTTCTGTTAGGATGAATTCTTGTGGGGCTGAGCGTTAATGTAGGCATTGGCTACATTAACTTTACTTAAATCATGATAGTATCCCTCTCTGTCTTGTGCCTGTGCATCTCACCACTTTCCTAGCTCACACCACAGTAACCTCACCTGGTTGCCAAAAAGCAAAGGTTCAGCCCCTTCTCCCTCAGAATGAGGCTGTCCTCACTTCTACAGATGTCTATCATGGGTATCACTGAAATACATTTTGCTACTCATTAAGGCATGCAGTTACCTATTTTGGACGGTATTTTAGGGAAACTGTTGGAGATGAAAAAGACTGTAAATACTGCTGGACCACCTGATGTAGTTACACTGTTGCTAAAAGTCTTACGAAAAATTCATTAATAGCCGCTCAGCTATTTGAGTCTCTCTGGCATTCAGACAGCAGCCATAAAAGCACATTTTATTTTATTGTAGTACTAATCAATTCTAACACTTCCTGTCTCAGTGCATTCTCTTTTAAGCCCTCCCCACCAAAAAACACAATCCCTAGAATAAACTTTTGTTCCTCTTTCAACAGCTGTCCCTAATCTTGTTGTATAATACTTCACTACGCTGTATCCAATTGAAGACCAGATGCTACCGAACTGAAATCACCAATATTCCATATAAGTGCGGCCATATGCTTGCATAAAACAACTTGCTTTATCAGCTCCTTACCTTCAAGCTCTTTGAAATAGGGTAAGTCTCACCTGTGAGGTACATTACAAGTGCAGGGAGCTGTAAAAATAAATTTCATTTATTGATTTCAAACCTCCTTGTGACAGAGAGGATAAACTGTAATTTTTTTATTGCAAAATATTAAAATAAATTACATTTTACAAAGACTTAGCAAATATTTACATACAGTGTGATTCCAGTGACAATCAGCAACAAAGAACAGACAGACAGGCATATTATGGAGTGATATAGTCAAGGCTGTAGAAACTTCAAAAGTCATATGAAAGACAAGCAAAGTTTTTAAAAGGTAAATATATCACAAGTGGAACGAAGTCCACGAGGCACAAAAGTTACAAGTCTACAACAGAGTTCTTACGTTTCTGTTTAGGTCAACAGACTTGCATATTGCTTTTTGCTCTCCTTATCAGCAAGGCTTGTCTGTCTTTACCTGTACTCTCACAGATCAACTGGAGAAACATATCTCAACATACACAACTGTGTCACTCTGGACCTGTTATCAGTCTATCATTTTATTTCTGCATGTTTTGTGACATCCATTGCCAGCAACAGATTCACAAATCGTTAGCGGAGAAAAAATTAAAACAACACTTCTTGTATTTCCTCAGTGATTTCGTACCAGTGTATCAGATGTGTTACACTGCCTGCCATAAGTATCTGCTACTGATGCTCTTCTGGTTACCTTAAAACAGGTTTCAATGGCACAAGACACAAAAGCAAGAAGTGTCACAATGATGTCATGAAGAACAGGGTCACCTAATCTATACCTTTTAATTGTAAAAGGGCCTTTGCAGGAACAGACTTAAAAAAAATTTTTTTTTTTGAATTATTGGCTCATCTTGGCAAAATTAAGATAATATTACACAAGTGTGCTTAACATAATGGCCTCGAAGTGACTGGAAATCAATTTATTTGCATATAATAGCCAGCAAGAAGAATTTTCACTTCTTTTCCATCCGTTCTTCACAAATCCTTATAAGCTTGCTTTAACAGAAAAAAAAAAAAAAACTCCTCTTTCTCCCCTTTCCTCTCTCCCCAGCAAGAGATCTGTTTCACCTGTAAAAATTAATTACATAGAATTAAAAGTTACTAACATTGCTATTTAGCCAAATGCAATCTTAAATAGCATCCAAATAAAATGTTTCCAGACTGGCCAAATAACTGAAATAATTATATGACCTTACCAAATAGCATTGGGGAATTCCCCAAAATTAACCAGAGGTGCTTTTAAGGCTGAATAGCTCAAAATCCAGACTGGACACCCTTCTAACTCACTACATGTAAATCTAAAGGCAGAAAGATAACATTAATTTAGGTTCCCCAGGCAGCTGCTTTTCTCAAGATATGGAAGACAAGCAGGCAAAAAGCTGTCTTGCTTAGCACTTCAGCAGTTCTGAGATGGCACCGTAATTTTAAAAACACTGGGAAATGGTTCAACTTTTTGAAGAGAGCCAGTATGAAAGCTGTATGCCAACTAAACTCCTCCAAAACACAGAGAGCAAGTACGGCTTAACTTGAACTTACCGCTTGTGCTGGCCCCTGTGCAAAGAGGTGAACTTTTTCCCCAGCATTAAAATTGCATTAAGGCACATGGTGGGGATGTCTTGAAAACAGTTTGTGAGGTGTTATCATGTTTCCCAAAAGTGGGAATTTTGTACTTTGTTTTAATAAATTTAAACCATTGCTTTAAATCCCATGATGCTTGTTATGCAGACTTACAGTCTATGCTGACTGCACTGCGAAAGGCCAAAGAGCCACATCTAACTTGATAATATGAAACAGATCCCATCCGTCCTCAGCTCTGCCATACAAGTGCACTCCACTAATAGAGAGTCTAGGTTCCAGTGTGCAACATCCCTTCCCAATCACAGAAGCCCAGCCAAGTGTCTGGGTTGTATTATTTCTGTATTCAAGAGTTTTTGTTTTTTTTTTTTTCTAAATGACGCTTGCACTTTGGCTATGCTTTTCCACCTGGCAAGCCTCTTCTCCCTTCACTGTCCCGTAGCTTACTAACTGTTGCTAAAACTTTGATCTTTGTATCAATAATGGAAGACAAGTTGGAGGATAAGAAAAGCTGTATGGAGTGCTTTTTCATTTTCTTGTAAGCTAATATGCATTTTTTTAAAACGAGAGGGCTAGACTCGCTACATAAGCATCCTTTATGTCACGTATGCTGTCTTACCTACCAGTTCTTATGGCTGTAAGGTACAGTTATCAGCCTTGACCCTTCGTACACAAAGCCCTTAATTCAAAACAGTTGAAGGGCTTGGAGTCCTTTTAAAATAGCGGTGGGGAAAAAACCTTCTCAATAGGCCTCTCTTTCTTCTGTCTGCTGGAACTCAAACTGATCCAGCCGCTCCCACTCCAAATGGCAGTAATGTAATGCAATTGGACTTCAAATTAGAACCTCCCTTCAGCAATATTGTCATCAAATATGAATTAACTACTGAATCCAATGATGTTGATTCCACATTTTTGTCAGCGTAACAGAGTTGGCCCTGGCCTTGTGTTAACTTTTCATTTGAAAATCTCATACACGTGGAAGCTTCTAAAAAGAAATTAATAAAGACATCCCCTTGTTTCACAGTAGATGACTTCAAAATTTCTTGTCAACAGGATATCCAGCCAGAGAGCTGGGTTCCAATGTGTCCTCTTCCTCTTATGGAAGGAGAGGCCAGCAATTCAAGCAGCAGTCAGTATTTGCAGTTATTAGAAAATTTAGTAATTCAAGATTAGCATTGCAAGATTCCATAAACCCTTCTTATAAAGTTAATGAGTCAGCCAGCATTACAATGAAAATGAGAATGAGACAACTTTAACTGTTCAGTGGCATACTGGGCATACTGGAATGACTTAAGTAATGTAAAACTAAATAAAACAACAGAACTTGTCATATTAAAGTTCAAAGGTCTTGGCAATTTTCTGTTCCAAGAATATTTGATACAACTGAAATCAGTACCTTTTGCCAGCATGTGATCAAGAGCCTCACTTGAAAGAGCTATCAGGATTAATGCATAGACAAGGAAAAAAGGAAGAAAAATAAAAATCATGCTATAATTTTTTTTGTAGCCAAAATGATTCGGGCTTAAATATTATTAAATGATATACTTCCTTATATCAATGAGAAGCCCATCTCCAAGTCAAGTGATAATACTTTCTGGAGCTCATAGCTGAAGTCCGCTTAAAAAAAAGAAAAAGTGTCTTACAGTCTTAAGTCATGCAATCACAGCTCAGTTTTACACCAGATCTGACATTACCCAGCATTCTTGAAAGTGGGATAGAATAACCATTGTGTACCCATACAGGTCAGGCTTAAAAAAAACAAAACAAAACAAAAATGCAAAGTATAACAAACTGTTTCAAAAATCATCTCATTCAAGTCTAGTCTGAAGTACCAAGGCAGGGAGAAACAGCAAACAACAATACTGACAAACACACTGCACAAAGCAGCAGCACTAAAGGTCCCTTCTGACAGGCATCAGGGCATTTGGAGAGTATCTGCTACTCCAAAGGCGACTTTTCTCAGAAGAACAGAGTCACTAAAACTTCACCTGTACATAGATACTGTATAAGGTTCATTCAAGTATTTCCTCTAGGAAATGGACAGTGGAAGGACACGTTCACCATTTAAAAAAAAAAAAAAAGTTGCATCCTGCTTGTGCTCATATATGCTTTGATCAACAGTTCTTCCAGTCACCTTATCTTTAACAGTTCTGGGGCTGATGTGCAGTTTAGCAGCCCGACAGGTGAGCTTCATCCCCGATGAGTTGTTCTTTGTTAGAGGGCTCCTTCTCAATCCATTCCTTTGGAATTTTTAATTTTAATATTTTATTCACAAAAATACTATTCACTGTCTTTTGACCAGCACTAATGTATTCCAGGCAGATATTCCAGAAGCTTCTTCTCCAGTTTGCCAATGCACCTCAGCTAAGATGGAATACCAGGACATACAGATCTGAAGTTTCTCATTAAGAATAAGTTATACCATTTTTTGTGGTAGCAACTTAACAATGGACAGCTAAAAAACCTCACACTCCTTTTTTTCCATCTGTGATCAAAGCAGGATTCAATCCAGGTTTTCAGAGGTGAAAGGCTAGTGGAGTAACCGGATACATCTGATGCCCAAAACGGTCTGTCTGCAATAGTATAGTTTCACTCCCAAACTAATTTCTCCATGAAATGCACAAATACAGAGCAGGTCCAGTGTAATAACTAGTCTTTTCTTTTCTAGTTTGTTCAAGAACTATAAAATCCCAAGAAGGAGTAGAACTCCAAAATCAACTGTTATTTTACAAGTTTTCTTAAAAAACAGAAAAGCAAAGCTGATGGGCTCAGAAACCAACTTAGGATGGCAAAAAGACACTGGAGTTTATTACTTTGGGGCTTGCTTTTGTTTTCAGAGATAGAAGAAACTGCAAAGACACGCTCTTCTCCTTGCTCCATTTATTTGTTCGATATGCACTGGCCACTTTTAGAAAACCATTGTCAAATGTGCTTCACGTTGCAGCCTTCACATTGCTTACTGTATTATATTCATTCATCAGTTGTTCATAAGGCACAGAAAGTTCCAGCTCATTGTTGGTAAAGGTAGATTCATCAGAGGATGGGAATTTTACCAGTTTTTTTGCAGTTTCAGGTTCTTCTACGAGATTATCATCCATGGAGGATTTTGAAGTTTCCTCATCATCTGTGAGATCCTCCTCTTCATCATCATCTTCATTTACAAATGTTATGTTGGCGTTCTCAAAGATTAGGGGTCGATAGTCTCTCGAGTCCCACACTTCCCCTTCTTCTTCACTGATCCTGTCTAGCTGGTTTACAAACATTGTTCCTTCTAGAGGGCTGTCTCCAACACGTTTATCATGCAGGTGTCTCAGCACATGACCATTCTGAATGTCTAGGGAAGCCTCATCATACTCAAATGACTTGGTCTTTGTGTAAGTCACCTGAGCATCTTTACTGGCATTCTGCATATTTTGCTTGGCATTCTCTACTTTAATCATTTTGTCATTATTAGTCTTCAGGGCCTTCTTTCCAATCTGCTTAATAAGATCATTGTAGGTCTCTTCCTTCTTCGAAAGGAAGCTGAAAATGTTCACATCCTTTGAGGTACCCATTTGAAGGGGTTTTTTAGATCGAGGATGGTTGTCAAATGATTCTTTTCTTTTTTTCCTCCGTTTCTTGATTGCTTTGTGCACTTCCACAAACATACTGACCTTCCAGTTGACAAAGAGTGAAAGCCAAGCCAGGCCTAGGTAGATCCATAACTCCACAAAGTATCTGTAAAGGGCATGATAGTTTGCATCTGGATTTACACCTACAAAGAATTTGAAACAGGAACATTACTGAAAGAGTACTTACAGCTGAAAAGCCTTCAAAGTTATCACCCAGAGAAGTATTCCCTCCCACACTAACAGATCCTTATTGTTTGGACACTGCTCTGAGAAGTGATAAGTGGGGACCTGAAACCTCCTGACAGAAGCAGTTGCAGGTCTTTCACTTGCCTGCATGTGTTCTAACCTCTGGTCTACAACATAAAATAGCAGCATATTTGACCTCCCCTTGTAAGCTCTAAAAGTGAACTTCGTTCTCTTCAAAAAATACAAGCACCCCCCCCTGCCACTACTCTCCCTTGAGAGAGGGTTCAGCCTCCAAAGTCCTGATCAAGGCAGTAGATTTTAGAGAAAGATACGATTAGGAGGGAGAACCACTATGTTCAGCATTTCCTGTTGGCTAGTTCCAGCTGCACAGAGAGCATCACTCCATTACTGATATTTCCTGCTCAGCATACAGGATCCCATTCCAAGGTGCTTAACTATTAGGGTGAATAGGAAAGCTCCTTGCCTGAAATAGGGAAATAGGGACCTGATGCACCTGAGAGTGTAATGAACTCCAAAACTGCTCCAGACTAAGGCTAAGGGCTTAGGTATCTAAAACCAGAAAAAGCAAGATCCAATCCATCAGAGCAGGATTCAGCTTTTATCAAATCTTGTATTAAGCTAAATGCTTTGCAAAAGCTTAGAAAGCACCTTTGAGAATTAAGAGTTTAAAAATACAATTGCCTCACTATGCTAAAAGTGAAACAATACAAAAAAATGCAATTACTAACCAGCAACAAAATCTCCAAATCCTATGGTGGTGATAGTGATGAATGAGAAATAGAGACCTTCAATGTAATCCCAGCCTTCAGTCACCATAAAGACAAAGGGAGGAATAACCAGATGGACCAAGACACCCCAAACAATGAAAATAGCTGTGCATGTAATTTGTGCTTTCCTCTGTAAAGAAAGAAGAAGCAAAATTCAAGAAAAGAACTCTTAATTTGCCATAACTAAAAGTCACTGACTGAAGTAAACACTGAAGTAAAGGTTTTTCCTTTATGCAGAACAGACTACTCTTACTACTATTTACTCAAAAACGATTCTTTGTTCTCAGGGCATTTCCTCATAGTTCTGCTTCACACAGTCTAAAAGTTTTAGAGTTCCTGATATTTTATAAATAGGCACGGTATACAAATATAGCACTCCGGTTTACAAAGCACAGTCAGTACCTCTGATTTTCATTTTATTCATTTGAGTATAGAGGATCAGGAGCTGGGTTAGGACACTTCTATTTGTCTTCCCTCCCCTGTACCACTTGTCTTATATCTCTGCACAACCATACTTCACAAGTTTGCATGCACATGTGCATTTCACCATCATTTTCTGTACCTTCTCAGGTGCTGAACCAAGAAGATTTTTGTTGCATTAACACTTAGGCCAGCTCTGTTTGTGAAATTAGAGCGTAAACCAACCCCACCCTCTTCCAGGCATTCTGCCCCCTGCATTGCCTGCACCTCTGTGCACTGAACTAGAACGGAGATAAATTCACCAGGCAAGAAGAAGCAGGAGGAAAAAAAAAAATCACAGTAACACAGAACAAAACATCATTTCTCATCTGGTTCACTACATTGCAGGAAATGCTCACACTAGCATAAAAGCAGTTGGGAACAAAGCAGGACAGCTTATTTCAATGCCAAAGAAGCTTGAAGGGAATGCTTGTGAAACTAGAGCCTCATCTACACTGAACATACAACTTCTACTATAGGAATAATGTATGTTTCCATAGAAGCTACAATATTTATATTTAGTATCATTCAAAGGTTTCTTCAAGACCTTAATTTGCTAAAACTTCTGGCAGAACTTACCTACAACATCTAGTCCTGCTGTCAGTTACACCTATGCAATATCATTTGGGAAATTCATACTTGTGTATGTGTTTGTTTACTACCAAGATTAGCAGGTAAGTGAAGAAGTGTAAGCTTAATTCATGCATCAAAAATACACAGCAGGAGGATAAACAAGCAGAGGACCTTACCAGGCTTACTCCTCTTTTTGTCAGAAACTGGCCCAGCCTCTTGGCACGTCCTCCAAAAAACTTCCCCAGAGCACTGATCCATGTCAAACAGAGAGGAACTCCAAAGAGCCCATAAAATATGCAGAAGAGACGCCCAGAGGGTGTCTTTGGAGAAACATTTCCGTAACCTAAAAGAGGTAAGTATGTACACGGTCTGTTCTTGTTACAGAGAATTCAAGGCAATTCTACCTATATAGAAAACAATACTGTGTGGGCTTCTGCTACATCAGATGCTCCTTACTTCACCATCCATAAGAGCTTTAGCCTACTCCAGCTGCTGATCTTCGGAATCTGGATGCCTTTCAACCCTACTCCAGTAAATGTGTATTGTATTAATGCAGACTGAGAGGAGTGTTGCATTTTGAGTGTTTCCTGGATTGCGTGCCTCTTTTTCTTGATTAGATGAGATAAATAAAACTCATCTCAAGGCCTTTGACATGATTTCCTTCCCTCCAGCAGCAATGTGAAAAGCTTGAGTTTTAACGTGAACCAACTTTACAGAGTAAAAGCTCAAAATTGCCCCCAAAGTTAGCTTCCACTTGCAAGATCTATTATGCACATTTACCTCGTGACCTGGAGCCTTCCCATGGAGAGAGCTTGTAGGTGAAGCGGAAGGCGAGTTATGACACAACAAGGTATTTTGACTGAATTTAGCTTTTTGCTGGCCACAGAACCCAATAGGGCATTACAGACTCTGTCTCTAAAATCACTATACTTTCTAACCCTCTGCCACGGTTTTCTTATTTAAGTCAGTTCCCAATTTCTTCAACTTTTTGTCACAAGTTATAATATAAGCTGGGTATTACGAGTTTCCAATAATATATGAAAAACATGATGCTGCATATGCTTTAATAGTAAGACTTCCATTTCTGCATACTTTGAACTTTCTGTAGTTAATTTGCATTCCTGTTTCTTACATAATAGGTGTAAGCAAGGTGTAGCAAAATCTTATAGCAAAGATTTTTCTGTAAAAGCAAAACACAGATGATTTTTGAGCTCTTCTGTATGTCAAAAGAGGAAGAAGTCTTCCAGTTCAGAGGGTATTATAAGCACTAATCAGCAGTGAGATTTATAAGAGCACACCTGTTCTTTGCTTTCTTAAGGATGGAGGGGAAAAAAGTCTAGACTGTTCTGCAAGGCAAGAACACTGCTAATTCAGTAGCTTAAGAGGATGCATGTGAGTAGTAGGACAGCCATGTAAAAACTTCATATAAACATGCTTCAAGCATTATCTTAATGAAATATTTTGTAATAGTTTTGTTCTGGAATTTTATGATCTGGAAATTTAAGTGCACGATTCATTGGAATTGGAATGACACCAATCATCCCAGACACCAGCATCTTGAACTAGTTACTTATCAGAAAGGGCAGCATTTCCCGTATTTACACCCATGAACGGAGTGCTAAAAAACTGCTTTTCCTCTATGAACCTGCCTGTGAGGACAGGTATTCTATTCAGCAGATACCTTGACACAGAAATGGAAGAGCACAGACCCACTGGTGCATAAGGAAAATTACAGCTAGGAAAGTTGATATAGTAAATACTTACCGATTGTAGTGATTACAGTAGCAGCAAAGATCACAGCGTTAGGCCAATTCCAGTTATTGAAAGTGTTGTTCCCAGTGATGGCAACCCCTTGTCCAGCAGCATTTGACACAACCTGCAAGAAAACAGTTTACAGTCATTCTTGGAAAATCCTGGCAGCCTGAAAGAGAAATGCGCGCATCCCTCTCAGGTTTTCCCCATCTTGTTCCTACTTGCAAAATAATCACACAGGTTTTTTGTGAAGGCTAGCCTTGTACATTCACTGATAGTAATTTTATGAAATATTAAAAATTTGCCTCAGCTAGTAAGTAGCAGCATAGGTGCTGTGACATTTAAATAGCAATTTTTAATTAGATAAGCTCTTACTTGATTCACCAGTTTTACCCAAATGGATCTCTTCCAGAGACCCAACGCTCTCTGCCAGACCCAGCTAGCATTTCATCTCCAGTATAGTTCCTAAATTCGGTTAATACTAGACAGGGACATTCTTCAGAATTACAACCCATTTCAAAACACTTACGTGCCTCAGTTTGACTCGGGTATGAACAGGACATCAAAGAATCGTTGTCAAAGCTAGTGCTAATAATGTTAATTCACCTGCTGTTCCTGGCAAAATCAGATCCTCTGCAAGCCAGCATAAAACTACTTCTAAGCAAAGAAAGACAACCTATGTTTTTCCAAGCTAACTAAACTGCTTCCATCCAACAAGACTCTAATCGCTGACCTTGAATTGGGCCCCTTTCTCATCCCCTGTATTTGAATCTAGTAGGTCATTATGAATGTAAAGCTTTTGTTTACAATGTGTGGGGTGGAAAAGTGTAGTTTTTGGTGTTTCCACAGATTCAGCAAATCCATCTTTTGACATCTGTTCAGGTCTTCAGGAGCTGAAGAATTATTAACCATCTTCACCTTTTATAGGAAGGGACTTGGACACAGCCTGCTCCAGCTTTCAAAAACTAGACTACAGAAACTGCTATGATAACCCACTCAATGCCTATTTTGCCAAACCTCAACGTTTCAAAGTAAAACCATGCATGTTATGATTCTGACATGTATTTCTACCTCCCTAAAGTGAAAGGGTAAAGCAGTTTACAACACTGTCCTAGAAATGCCTAGTTATTTAAATCTTTGTTCTGCTACATCACACTGCAGTTAAAGCCTTCTCAAGTTGCAGCTGCATTTTCCCCTTCAATGTAAACTCTGGTGGTCTAAACACAACTCTAAAGCTACATCCATATACAAAGAGGGACAGGTACCTTCGAAAGGTGATTCACCCCATAACCTTCTATGCCTCCCCCTCAGAGAACGTTGAGCACAAATAGTGAGTTGACTAAATGCCTACACTTTTTACCTTTTAACACAACAGGTAAGGTTCATCTTAAACTGGTAAGAATTAATACAGGAACCTGTAACTGACTCTTCCTTCCCTCATCCCCTCCCTCCTTTCTTCTATCCTACTTGATTAAGATCTGATCTTGGACCCAACAGAGACTCAACATAAAGTTCAATCAATCACCATTAAAAACATATGCAAGTTAACACAGGTTTTAATTATTCTTGAGACTTATTACGTATCACCACCCTCCCACTGTAATAAATTGCCCTCAGAATGTGTATTGTGCATATACAAGATGCAAACAATTTAATTAAAAATGCACTTTCAATGCAGAAGCTATTATGGAAGACAAAACAAATAGCACGGAGAGTGACTGAAGGTACAAAACTAGACCTTTCTCCTGGGAAGCTCAGCACGCATACAAAGCAGCATGCAGTGACTTTCCATAGCCTAAAGGCTCTGTCTGGATAGAAAAAGATGTAGAGAATGTTCTCACCAAGGCAGTCATTTGTCATAAGAAAGCAGTGTTGAAATCAGAAGTAGCCCTGAAACGAGCAGGCAGATAGCAAGCAGGTAAACACACACAATGCCACCCTCTTTCAAAACAGGAGCCTGTTAATATTTAAGATAGCTATACTGGATGACAATAGTTCATCTGAGCAAAGACCAATCAAAGTCACTTCATTCATTTCTGCTACGGTCTACAAATGAATTTCCTAAAGTCTCAAAGAACATCCAAAGCACCTGATAGATACAATCTGTGATTTATGCGCTATGAGAAGATATTTAGACTTCTCCTGCTGCCCAGCAAAACCGCACGAAATGTTATATGAAACACCAGCTCTCCAGTTACTTTTCATGCTTTAAGCTGACTTGGATTTCTTCTCTTCCTCACAGAGCAACTGAACTCATAAGAGAGGCACTGAAGTATCTGTTTCCCCTGTCACTGGGCCATTATCTCATTGCCTGACTCCACCTTCAGTTTGAGCGGATGAGCTCAGTTCCCCAGCACGCAGAGGCAATTACTTTAAAACGAGCCGGTGGTTGAGGTCTGGAGGTGTGAAGGGGGCCCTGACTCAAGGGGCAGAGAAGCAGCTGGAATGAGTAGCATGCAGCTGCTCTTCACACCCAGTCGGTTAGCATTTTGGGATTGGAGAGGGATGGCTAGCTCTTCCAGAGTTGTATAAACACTTGAAATTCAGAATCACAGCTACTCTTTAGCCAAAGCTACACCACCCTCTTCTTGTCCCTATTAGCACACAGTTATCTGCTATTAGTGCATAATTATCTATATGTTCAGCCTATCATTAAAGTTATTTTATGCCTGTAATAGGCCTGAATGTGATTGCTGCGCCCAGCCAGAACAAAGAGTCACAAAACAAGCTTAGTTAGCTTTGGTGCAGTGGGAAATACATAGCTGCTTTCCAAGCAGAGTAACTTTTGACCATACTGAAATAATTAAATCTTTTGGCTTTAACAAACAAACGGACACTATACAACTGAACAGCAAATGTTTTTTTGCTTGGTAAATCAGTTATGCAATGTCAGAGATGCCTTTATTTTCATACGCTAGGATACAGAATGCCCCAGTCTGGCTGTGTCAGACTTCTCAAACTACAGAAAATTTGCTCTAAAAAGCCTTTGGCCGGGATTATTGGGGGTGACAGAGAAGAGGTTAGATTTTGTATCTGCTCTTAATATCCTGAAAGAAGTTGTTCTGAACGCATCTTTTAAAGTATGCCCAAATTAACAAGCTGAAAATAGTTAACTAACTTGGAATACGTACATTGCTTTAGATTATACCACATGACTGTCTGTATTGATAAAGTAAAAACTTTATTTTAGCTCAAATGACTTCTGCCTCACAGCGATCAAACCTCCTCTCCTGCCCCACCAACTCTGCACTTTGGCAAGTGAAACAAGGAAAATAAAGTCTCTAGACCCTGGAGTTATTGCTGAAAGTCAATAGATATTCCAATTGCAGAGGGAAATTTAAGGTACACATAAAAATAATACTCCTTCTGATTACGTTAACAGAAACAGAAACTGGGGCGGGGGGGAAGCAGGGGGTAAAGAGGCCGTTTTGATATAATCAAGCATACCATTTGCTCCACTTGAAGGTACTTCCCCAAAAATCAACCACAGCACTGCTCCAGTACAGCCCTGTTTCCTGGTGCCAGTGACATTTTCCTTAACTCTCTGATGATCGGTTTTATGATTTACGAGAGATCAGAAAAAACTAGTTGTTCATCTCCATTATGTATTGTCTTGGGCAAAGGAGAGTTATCTTAGACAGGATTTGAGATGCTTTTGGGAACATAACACTTGCATCCTCTATACAATTAAGGATATAACTGAACAAAGAGAGAAAGAGAGCGGGAGAAGGGGAAGAGAAGTCCCAGAAAAACAGCAAGGTCCTCCTAAACTCGGAAGCCACATACCACTACACTTCTTCAAATGGCTATGAATTACAAAACATAGAGGATTCTTCTGGTTATTGGCCCATAAGGATTTGCTCAGTCAAGATTTGCTCAGGGCAAGTCTCAATGGTGGCTTAAAAGCCTGCAACAGTCAGCAAACCCATCTCAGCTGTTCTTGTCTTCAGATTAGCAGGAGGAATGGTTAAGTTTGAAATTTGACAAATACCAGTACAGGGTAAAATAGGACACAATAGAATTACATTTAAACCCTTTAAAAGTGATATGAGGGTATAAAACTAAAGGAACAAGCAAATGGAATTCTGTCTATATGATTAGGAGTGACAATTAACTGAGTATGTGTAATATGCTATCTTACTTTGGATTTTTAGCCTTTAGAGGAAAAAAAATGTAGAAGACAACCACCTTCTGTCTTTGCAAGCATGAACAAGTGAGAGCCATGCCTTTATTTTCTTCTTTCTAGGAAGCATATTTTTAAAGTAGCTTCTGTTCAGTAAAAAGTACCTAGTAAAAAGGTGCACCTTTGTTAAAAAATTAGCTTTACAATGTCATTGCAAAACATTATTTGCAAGCAAATTCACATGAGGAAAAGTGAATTTGAAATCTTTTTACAGTGGTACACTTAGGAAAAGATGTTCACATATAACAAAAAAGGTTTGAAAGAAGGTACTGTACACACTGTTACCTTGTTTAGACACCTGCACCGATTTTTGAACTAATTCATCATTATCCAAACGCAGGTATGTTTCATAATGGCTGTAATCAAGTTGTAGCAGCTGTAGCTAGCACAGAATTATCTGAAGATAAGAAGTTTGAATGCATTTGACTTATTTGCCTTGATAAGACAGAAGAACATGATGGACCATAAGACTACCTTTCTTACAGCAGAAATAGACTTCCCTAAGCAATGGCAGTTATTGCTGTACTCTTTGGCACAAAAGTGATTGTGTACCAGTGCAAGAATATACACACGGATGGTAACATTATTCTCGGAGTTAAGGGCTGCAAGAAAGTTGTGATCCAGGTTTTGTATATCAAGTAGGAATAATTTCATATTTGGAATGAAATCTGAGACACTTTAGTAAGGATTGGCTGGGTCTGACAGCAATAAGCATTAGAAAAAAAGGAGCCCTTCTTCCAAGGTATTTATGGTCAAATGAACTAAAGATACAGGACAACAAACAGGTTATGTAAACTAGAGCAACAGATCCTTCCTCACAGGCACCCTATTACGTATAAAAATAACTCTTAGGTACCACCCAATCTTAGGTCTCCGTTTGAAGAGGCTAATGCCTCCCTTCTGTAATTCAAAGCATTCCCTGGTCTAGCTGTAGTTTTAAA